GGGGCCTGGCTTCCTCTTCTGCTAAGTACGTGACCCCGGACAAGTCATCTCTGCCCCCGCCAGGCATCGGCTAGCTTATCTCTGCGCTGGCGAAAGAATGTTCTGGGAACCTGGTGACGAGACTTCTTCCCAGAAGGTCAGTTTCTGGAGACTTCGGACAAGGTGGCAAAGGAGGGGGAGGCTGTGCCCGGCTCCTCCCCAGACCACGTCCGAGTTACAGCGAAATGGGAGTTGACCGGGAGAGGCCCCCGAACACTTGCTGAGCGGGGTCCTGTCCCTGAGGGCGGGAAGGGCAAGCCCCTCCGGAGACTGGCAGCAGGGGCGGTGACCTGGAACGGGCTGGCCCCACGCCCAGGTGTGGCGGCTGAGGACCAGGAGGGCCAGTGCGCTGCAGGGCTGCCTCCCGAGGAGGGAGGGAGGGGCCCGGCCCTGCGCCCCAGCCCGAGCGCGGGAGCTGGGGAGAGGGGCCCGTGGCACATCTGGCGGGGACAGTCAGCAGGGTGCTGCCAGTCCGGGTCAGGCGCACGGCTGTGGGAACCCTGGCGTCCTAGTAAAGGGCCTGCACTCACACTCACTCACCGGCACTCACCCTGGGCTCCGGCAGGGGGACAGTGGCTTGCGGGGCACCAGGGACATGCAGGGACAGCCTGAGTTGGGTGGCTTCAGGGTGAGGACCGGAGGGACAGCCGCCATCGCCCCTGTTGGAGCCTTCTTCCCACGCAGCTGGTGGACGGGGGCACCATTCCCGCGCGGAGCCCTCCCCCCACACCGTCAGACCTGCACCTGCGTTAGCCCGGCGCACCCCCCTGGCTCCGCCTGACGACCACCTGAGACCCCACCCCACCGTGAGGGTCTGCGGGCCCCGGGAGGGAGGCAGCGGGTCCGGTGTGCCCTGAGACTTCGGCTGGGTGGCCTCAGACCCAGCGCTGACGCTTAGGTCGAGTCTCCATCAACCCGGTGGCACCACTCGCCCCACCCAACCCGGAACCACCCGAGGACCGCCTCACCCAGCTCAGGTATTATCCGAGCCTCTTCCAGCGGCTGAGGTTTGCGGAAGATCTCAGGGTACCGTGTGCCTTTTGCCCACCTGCCCCAGACCCGGCACTGGTGGCAGTCGACCTTGGTTCACAGTATGGCCTCTCCAGGTCCAGCACAGGCAGCCACCACCACAGGTCACTTTGTAGCTCCTAACAGGTACTGGCCACAGGCAGCATGTCACCTTGGCCTGCTCTGGCCTTCCCTAGGGTCCCCAGAACCAACACACCCATGGGTGGTGTCAGACCACAGCAGGGCGCCACCCGCTTAGCTCCAGAAGCAGCACATCCAGAGGGGTCTCGGCAGGCACCCCCCCCCCACTGGGGTGGTCCTGCTTCGTGGGGCCAGCACCTGCAGAGCAGCTCACAGTTCTGGACCGTCCTCACTGCCACTCAGTCTGTGGGTCAGTCCCACCCACCGACCTGCCAACAGCAACCATGGTTCAGCTACAACAGAACGGAGCACACCACCCACACAAGGGCTGCTCCTGGAGCGCCCGGCTCCGGGGTCCAGGGGGCCTGCACCACTGGGCCCCCCAGGACGCCCAGGGCATAGGGCAACCCCGCCAAGACGCGGGGGGGCACACAGAAGGTCTACCCAGGATGTAGAAACAAACACGGAGGGGCAGCCAACGTGACGAGACAATGACCCAGGGCCCGAACGAAAGGACAGGAGAAACCTCCAGAAAAAGCTCTAAGTGCAATGGAGGCAAGCCATCTACCAGATACACAGTTCACGACGTTGGTTAAGGATGCTCCAAGAATTTCTGAGAACTTCGACAAAGAAACAGCAAATGTAACAAAGGACATAGAAACCGTAGACTAAAAACAAGTCAGAAGTGAACAATACAACAGCTGAAATGAAGAACATACTAGAAGGCATCAGCAACAGGTTGATGAAGGACTGAATCAGCAGTCCGGAAGGCAAGGTAGCGGAAAACACCCACGTGAAACAGCAAGAATAAAATGAAGGAGAGGAAATGAGGACAGTGTAAGGGAGCTCCGGGGCAACAGGTATAGCAGGCATAACAACATTTGCATCATAGGGGTGGCAGAGGAGCAGAGAGCGAGCAAGGGACTGAAGGCTGATTTGACGGACTGATGACTAGAAACCTTCCTAACCTGGCGAAGGAAATAGACACGCAGGTCCAGGAAGCACAGAGACTCCCAAACAAGATGAACCCCAAATGGCCAGCACCAAGACACGCTGTAATTAAAGTAGCAAAGGTTAAACACAAAAGAAGCATCGATGAGAAAGACAGTTAGTTACCCGCAAGGAAGCTCCCAGGAGACTGTCAGCTGATGTCTCAACAGAAACTTTGCAGGCCAGAAGGGATTGGCAAGAAATATTTAAAGTGATGGAAAGCAAGGACCGACAACTGCCATTTGACGCAGTGAGCCCACTTCTGGGATTATATCCTAAGAACCCTGAAACACCGATTCGAAAGAACATGAGCACCCCTGTGTTTGTAGCAGCCTTATTTACAATCACCAAGATCTGGAAACAGCCCAAGTGCTCATCAGTAGGTGAGTGGATCAAAAGGCTGCAGTACATTTCCACAACGGAATACTATGCAGCCATAAAAAAGGAATTCTTACCATTTGTGACAACATGGATGGACCTAGAGGGTATGCATTATGCTGAGTGAACTGAGTCAGTTAGAGAAGGGCAAATACCATGCGATTTCAGTTACATGTGGAATCTAAGGAACGGAAAACACAAACAAACAAAACGGAAACAGACTCGTAGGCACAGAGAACAGACTGATGGCTGCCAGAGGGGAGGGAGTTGGGGGCTGGACGAGAAAGACGAAGGTTCTGAACAGCACAGACTGGCAGCTGGAAAGCCGTCTCGGGGATGTCGAGCACCGCACGGGGAATATGGCCAATAATAATATTGTGGTGACTGCGTATGGTGCCGGTGGGTACTCGAAGCATCGGGGGCATCCCCTCTCCTAACCACTGTGCTGCACACCTGAAACGGATACAGAATAGTGGCGAATGTCAGCTGTGACGGAAAAACGAAGAGAGAGCAGCGCCTGGCTGAGGCGGTGGTTTTGAAGGTGAAACGCTGTACTGCTTAGGAAGCACTTCGGGTGGTGTCTGGAGCTGGGTCAGATTTATAACGGTCGGGTGTCGTTAGTAGCCACGAGTCAGCCAACCACGCCCTCTCCCCCCACGTGGCCTTCCGCCAAGCTGGGGCAAGGCCTTCTCCTGGGTGGGCCTCGGAAGCAGGCTTGAGTTGCCACGGGTGACACCGTGTGTGGCTTCGTGCTCGGTCTGACAGCGTGGGGCCGCGGGAGAGCGACTTCACCCCCCACCCTGGACTCAGTCTTCTCATTCGTGAAATGGGTCTGATGACGGTACCTCCTCCCTCAGGCTGTGGGGGGCTGGACGGTTCAGAATGGTGCGTGGCACAGGCCACGCGCTCGGGGGAAGGCTGCCGGCCATCGCAGGCATCAGTGCACCGTTCGCTCCCTGCGTGCTGGCTGCTGGGGAGACGAAGAAGTGTTTCCCAAACTTCACCGTCGTGGGGACCCTGGGACACTTGGCGGCTGAAGCCTTGCCTTCACTTCCCAGGTGCTGCAACTGGATTCCCTGCAGTCTGGATTCTGCCCCCCCCACCCCCGACCCCCACCCTCCTAGAAATTCCAAGTGCAATTTTTCCAAGTGCACGTCAAGGGCACTAACGGTCGAGCCCCACCCAGAAGTGTCTGCGTGGTCTTCCAGAGGGCACGGGAATGCTGGAGATCAGCTAGCCTGACATCACAGTTCTCGGAAGAGGAGGCTGAGGCTCCGAGAAGCCCTGTGGCTGCCCCCAGCAGCCCCGTGACAGACCAAGAGTTACCACTTGCCTGGGCTGCGTAGGCACTGAATGGCAATGGGTGTGTATTGAACTTGACCGGTGTGTGTGTGTGGGGGGGTCCAGCCTGTGGCTGGTCTAGGCCTCTCCTCACTCCACTTCAACTTTACTTCTCTGCCCCACCCACAAGGTTAAACCTTGCTTAACCTCGAGAGGGCTGCCCTGCCTTCCCCAGAGGGACCCTGCGGCGCCCCCCCCAGAGCATGGAGACCTGGTTTCCCAATGGGCCGTGTCTCCCCTTCCCTGTGGCCCACCCCTCCGGGCCACGTCCCGATTTCCAGGCCGGCTTGCTGGTTTCCCTGGGCGGCTGCCTTGTTGGGTGGGCTTCAGGGAGGACTCTGGTGGATGCCGGAGGTGAGGGGGAGGGCTCCGGAGGGGCCCAGTCATTGGCCCCACGGCCCCGGGGGGCCTAGGTGAGCCTTTCCCCCAGGGGAGCTGTGGGTCAGCAGATGTCCGAGGGATGAGTCTTTCCGGAGCTGGGTAACCCAGGAGCGGCGCCAGCAGCGGCTCCCCTCTCCTGCGGTTTCCGGCTGATTCTGAAGGGCCATCTCGGCCACAGTGCGCGTCTTACTAGAAATGCAGCAGCGAAACCCTAATGGGCTTAGATGCGAGTGAAGGGAACGGTTTTACAAACAACATTTGAGGGGAGGGGTGGGAGGGAGGAAGAGAGGGTCTTAAGGAATCCCTTTCAACATGTTTTCTTTCTTCTACGTATGGAAATGGCACCCTACAACCCTTTCTGTTCCCAAGTGACCTCACAGCTATTTATTGAGGGGAAATACCAAAGGCTTGTTTACTCTCCGAAAGCAGCTTCTGGGGCCTGGATGGTTCAAGGGGCTACCGTTTTCCTGCGGCTACAGAGGCGGACAGCCCGCACGCGGAGGGGCAGGCGGGCGTCAGAACGCTCCCGGTCCCGAAGGAGGGCAGGGGCCTTCTTCGTCCCCCCAAGGACGTGCGCAGACGTCCTTGGGCTCCGCGGACGGATGTGAGCGCGCTCCTCATTCCTCATGCAAAACAGCCGTCTAAACATAACACATGACATCAGCTCGGGCCTTTCAATTCCTGGATGGCCGCAGCGCGCTGATCCAGCCTGCAGCCTGGAT